CTGGCAGCTGTGGGAGAGTATCATCCCCCCCCATTGAATTAGAGGGAAATGTGTTTCAGCTATAGGGGAAAATTAACTTTCAGAGCTTGGGAGTTGAGTGGTTTATGCTTCTTAAGACAAGGTTTTACAAAATGTCATGTAGTTCAATTATTTGCAGATTCCAAAGGCTGATGGAAATAGTCATTATCACAGAAACTGACAAATTATGATATTTTGCCACAGCCAAGTGCAACAATAATTGCTTTAGCCTTTTTATTATAGAGTTTGCTTTTCAGAATTACTTTTTAAAGGAATTGCTCTTTAACAGCTTGAGGAAATCTGCTATTTTCCAGGGAAAAGCATGGACACAGCTAGTCACAAGCCCCCCCCACACACAAAATTCAGTGAAATGACGTTGTGTAGGAGCAGATCATTATTTGTAGGCACTTTCCGGCAGATCATGACAATGGGGCCAATGAAAAGAAAAGAGTTAACCCCCCCGAAACTAAATAATTCTTGATTTATTTACCTAAGCACTGCTACAAATAAACCCCCCCTCCTAATAAATGTCTCTAACTCTGGGGAAAAACAATTGAAATACATAGGAAAAGTCACTGCTCGATTGAAAATTTTCAGATTTTATTTTGGGAATTTCTTTAACATCTTTGGCAGTCTGCTACTTTCCTGAGCACAGTCTGCTACATTTAAATTCACTTTCTATCAACTATTTCTAACTCTGGGAAACAACTTATGTATATGGGGAAAGTCACTGATCCCCCCCAAATTTTAACAATTATTTTTTTGGAACAGCTCTTTAACAGCTTAGGTAATCTGCTATTTTCCTGAGTACTGCTTCAGATAAATTCACATTTCTAGTAACTGCTTCTAACTCTGGGATACAGTTTATATACATAGGGAAAGTCCCTGATTGATTGAAGATTTTTTATATTATTTTTGCTAAGAATTGCTCTTCATCATCTTAAAGGCAATCTGCTATTACCATTGACAAGCATGGATACAGTTTATATACATGGGGAATTGACACTACACAATTAAAAATAAGAGAAAAATGATACGTCACCAAATTTGTTAACAAAAATGTGATAATTGCCCCCCCTAACAAGCTCTGGTCATAAACAAAAAGGCACCTTTTGAAAAACCTTGTGCCCCCCCATTAAGCACTTTTCATACATTTTTACTTAATGAGTGCAAAATATCAAATCCCCCCCATTTTCAAATATGACATCCTAGGCCAGTGCTCCAAGCTACTACCGACTTGGTTGCCATGACAAGTAGCAATTGTTTTTGGCTTGTAAATTTGCAGTACAAGTTGCCCCCCCCACGACCTAAATTATCTACACAGTATTTGAGGTCGAAATCTAAAGTACCTGAACATTTGCTTATGACATAATTGATATCCTTTCATTTTCATGATAAAGAATTTCCCACATCATCTTTAGTTGTCTAACTTGTCCGGTAAATTTTCCATAAACATGAGCTTGCCCCCCCAAATGTAAGAGGTACATGTATTCTTAGCAGCTGAGAATATCATGTAATACTGCTCTATTTTCCTTTGGTAATTAATTTTTTTTTCACTCAGTCTTTTTCAATTGCGACCCTTTAAAAACTCCAGGTCGCCAAGAGGGGATCAACGACGAGTGAAGTGTCGCTTTAGATACTTATCGTGTATAAATAAAGATTATTGATTGATTATTGATTGACTGATTGACATCAAAATAAAAGAACTTTGAATAAAACAATAACATCACTTATTCTAAAAAATACACTGAGGAGAAACCGCAAATTCCTCCTGAAGATAAGCAGCAAGTATGCTTAAGCCTGGCTTCTATCGAGAAGGAGAAACAGGGCATAAAATTATTTGACCTCGGAGAGGCACAATAGACATACAGTAACAGTAAGATAGTGATCTGAAAAAACCTTACAAAAAAATTATGGTGAATGAAGTGACATGATTGGCAGAACTTCTCAGCTCAAAAATAAACAGTTACTCTACGAAGTGGATTAAAAGTTAAGATAAATTCCTAAAGCTCACTTTTTTTGCTTCTCGAAGGTTATCGTCCTCGCCCAAAAGTAAGATTCTGCTGTCCGTGCTAGCTGTAAAGGCTTTGAAGATCAAGAAACAGGTTTGTTGTTGCAACCATCAGGTGTGCGGAGGAGGTCTTCCAGAGTAATTCGCTCGTTGTTGTCAACTCCGTCGGTGATTTCCTCTGCTTGAAGATCGCCTTGGCATGGTAGCTTTGGTGACAGAACTTAGGGAATCTTTCCTAAGATCTTTCGCGAAAACAAGTTTAAAACGGACCGAAAGTTCAAGGATTTACGCCCCCCCCCAACCAGGCGAATCCCGAATATACGTGAGAGACTGGTACTCAGTTAGGATCCACCTCCAGACTCCCGCGAGTCAATCAGCCGGAAATTGGCATATGTCCTTCCCTTCTATTTTCTTTTGTTCTTTAACGGCCAAAGATTTTCGTGAAAATGTTTCTAAATTTGTGAGGGGATTTCCTGATTAGGGGAAGAAAAGAAAATCAAACTCTCTGTCTCCCTCCCCCCCCGAAATTTTCCAGAGTGTACGTTTTTAGACCAAGAGTATAGAGGGGAATAATCTCTTGTTTAGACTGAATTAACAAGGCAGAAAGGTTGTCAGTTGCAAATCTACTTGTTTATATAGCGAACAAGGAAATAATGAATTCATCGAGGTAATTTTTTTGCTACAATCCAATGATCACTGTTTACATAGGCGCATAATATATTGATGCAAGACCGTCGTGGATTTTTTGTTATTAAACTAAAAATCTCGTCAAATTAAAAGAAGTTTTCTGAGTCCACTGAACAGCAAAGAATGCAGTATCTTAAGAGACAAGCAAAAATGGAAGATTTCCCCAAACAAAACCTTTTTCAGATCATATGCATTTTATTTGGATGCAGCCTGATTCTTGTCCCCCCCTTTTGGAACAATCCTTCGATCGTGCGGGACTCACACAACCTAGCGTAAGCCCCCCCATGCAGTTTATTTGATTTTAATTATGTAGTTTAAGTTTTGATAGGGTAGACCATACACACGAATTAAATGTTCTCAGAAATTTGATTAAAAGCGGCATTCATTTTCCCCCCCAAGCGAATGCATTTTTTAATACTTTGTGTAACCGCTCACGCAAACTTTTCCCCCCCATTTACTTGACCATTAAGAGATGGAAATACAAAACCGAATTCTATTAATCCCCCCCGAAATGAAAATGAACGATGATATTCATTTTTATCTTGAACACATCGTTCTATATGAGTGTCCACGAAAGAATAGAGATCGCTGTTGTTACCAACAACTTAAAATCACGTCGGAAAGAACGCGACTTTGAAGATCGCACCTCTGTGTAAAACACGTCACACGAATTCACTCGAACAAAACTCCTTCATATTTATCATTTGAGTTTTTTGTCGAAGTATCCCCCCCATTCTTCGTCGCGTTTTAATTCTACATTTATATTTACTGCTGCGGAATCACAGCTGTACAAAGTTTATCCATCGGTAGAATGGACAGATCTTAACCCGATGTAAGTGGTAATTAGGCAAATCTGCCATAACATAAATTTTGGTTTGAATCGTAAGACAAGCCCCCCCCCGTTTTTGCATGAAAAGGTTATTGCCTTCACGGTTGCTATAAGCAAGTCCAAATTGTCATTTTAAAATAGGACTTCTTTGAGTATTTAACCCTAAACCGAGAAAATTTTGAAACTGAGCATAAATGTTACATTGAACTTTGAACTTTATTTATTTCACACTATTAATAGAAGTTAATATACTTTGAAAAGTAAGAGAAAGAGGGAAGAATAATAGTAATATTTGGCTATAAAGATAAGTTTGAGAGGTGCACCGTAACGGTGTCCAAAGTAACAAAGGTTTTCTAGTTGGACACCGTAATAATGGTCATATAAATAGATAAATTGATAGCAGCCTATAATAAAAGTATATCAGCAGTAAAGTAAATAAACTGATTAGGTTTTGTTCCCCCCCATTTGAAGTTTTTTGAAGTTTACATTTTTCCTTAAGAGTAGATCAGTAGCAAAGTAAAATGATCAGGTTTGGTTGAGTAAAAGTTGATGTTTCCATTAATACCAAGATATTCAGAAACGATTCGTACCAAAGTTCTGCCAAGTACAGTTTATACCGTGAAGAGTTATTTTAATTTCTTTTTGTCTTTTTCCCGTATTAAAGATGGAAACTCTTACTTCCCCCCCATCAAACAACGTTTAAAGGAATGTAACGTATATTCTGACTCGAATTGAAGGCACATGATCGCAATCAGATCACAATTTTTCCCTCGTAATTCTGACATGGAAAGTGCCAACGTAAAGTAAGCACCGGTAGTAAGCTGAGAGGAGAGATCAAAGCCACACAAATTTATCATGATTTATGGAGGATTTTGGTTGTATTACAGTAAAACTTTACCTGATCCCCCCCCGTTCTAATGTTCATCCCCTCATTGGTAGTCAATTTTGTATAGCCCCCATCCCCCCCCTAAATACTCTGTTAGTGAAGATTAGGACTGATTCCCTCACCGCCCCCCCCCCCCCACACTTTATCCCCCCCCAAAAAAATCCCCCCCCCGCGAAAATAATAACTGGTCTCCTACATTGACCAGTGGAAACAACTGACAGGGAACTAACTCGAAGATAGAATCGATTTTCTAAATTGTTTCACTTAATTTTTATCTTAATTAATTTGTACCGTTTAACCCCCCCCGCAGATTTCAAAACAACTTTTCTATAGCAGTTTTACCCATGAGTAACGTGAAGATTGTTTGCCCGAATCCCGCAATGATCCCGATAGCGGTCGAGGGAAGCATTCGTCAAGAAGAAATGTACGAAAATCTATGGATTGTGGATAAACAAGCCTATGACACATGCGAAGCTTCTAAACCTCAGAACAGAATTCTGATGAAGTGTGACTCTTCACTGCAACTGCGGTACTTCACTGTAGTATTTCAGCGGTATAGTGCGGTCGGTGCAGACGGGTTAGGGTTTGAGCCTGGGAAGGAATACTTTTTCATAGGTAAGCTATTTTACTCTTATTTTTTAAGACATTTAATGCTCCAATCCGCGCTGCTTATTTGATTCCAACCCAAAAGTGGTTTGAAGCGGACAGAAGGTAAAGAATGACGGGAAGAGTTAATGGAGGGCAAATGATAAATACCTAAATTAATAAAATTTATAATAAAACTAAATGAAGCAGTGATTTGCCTAATTTTGGAAGAAATGCACATATGAACAACAGTGTTTATCCTTAAACATTACAAGTACATAAAACTATGAAAACTACGTGCAAATCAACCTATGAGGTTTTCAAGGTTTCCCCCCCATTTTGACTTAAAGGGTTAAAAAAAGGCAATATTTTCCATCTTGGTGGACCCCCCCTTCTTCTATGTAGCACTATAATTGATGGCATATCAAATATTTCACGTTATTGGCTATGCTTCTGTTTTTTAAAACAATATTCACAGCATTTTTCGCACCTTATATCCCCCCCGGAAATTTTTTTAAATTTTTCAACAATAAACAAGAGAGCCGAAAAAAATCCCCCCCAAAACAAACCGAGCAATATTCGCTCGGGGCATTTTTTATTTTAAGATCTTCTCCTTCTCCCAAAAGACTCTCACTCACTTGTCAGCTAATTATTTGACACGAGCACAATTAAAATTATATTATAAATAGGAACAAGTTGTGTAGCATTGCTGAGACAGTATTTTAGTCACTCCCAGTTTTCCCCGTCCACTCGCAACCAGGAAGACGTAAGGACTGGACTACCGCTATTTTGTTTTATAAATGAAGAACGTTGAGGGTAGATCCAGAAAACTCCCCCCCCTTGATCTTAATGAACTTATTCTTAAAAACAAAAGAAGACAACTCCGCAAAAAAAAGAAAAACAAAATGAGTACTATCACAAACAGATAAGCAGCCCTACTGTAGGTAAGTTATAGATGCATATTAAAGCATTCTTAACTTTTTTGGGAATTACACACCTTTTCAAAGTATTTAACTCACATTTCAAAATATTTAACTCACATTTACAATCAATTTATAACCTAACCTTTTTTATACATGTCACACACTCTACACTGAGAAATAAATTCAAAGCTTTGGATGACTGTGATAGATAATTTTACTCAGGAATTTTGTGGCCTGCCACAAGTAAATCTCTACCATAAAATAATCGGATTTCGTTCCACCTACGAAAACACAGTGTCGTCCGTGAAAGACCGGCTGTTCACCATAAAACGACAGATCTGAGTGCATCGATGGGGAGCCCCCCCAAATTGAACATTGCTGCAGTGCTGCGTACAAAGCCTGTCTCGATCTCCTCCCCCCCTCCGCCCTTCCCCTCTAGACTTCAACTCTGTTCTCCCCCCTCCGCCCTTCCCCTCTAGACTTCAACTCTGTTCCCCCCTCCGCCCTTCCCCTTTAGACTTCAACTCTGTTCCGGATGATCAAGATCTTGATTTGGATCTGCTTGTTCGCGATTCTTCATCAACTGCTCGATCACAGCGTCTTTAGACTAATAACAAAGCAGAACAGAGAAATTTGCAATGAATTGATAAGAAACTGATGCGGCCACCATAAGAAAACAGTGTTAACGTAACTATGTCATTCAATGCTCTTTGGGAACAATGCTTACCTGAACTTCTTGACGAAGCAACTCGATCTCCGTTGAAAACTTTTGACACAACTCGCGGACAAGGCCTTCCTTTATCTACCAAAAATACAAAGGTCGGCCTTCATCGATTCAGACCTTCATTTCTTGGGGGTTCAACACTTTATCTTGCATGCGGAACGCAGTCACAAACCGAATACAGTGGTTTGAATTGTCGTTCAGTGATAGGAAGACATAAACAAGGTTGGAAAACACGATGGCATTGGTTTTGCTTACTTCGCTCTGTGATTGGTCCAGTAAACTCGCGCCACTCTGTCAACCAATCAGATGCAAAACTAAAACCAATCATCACGTGTCTGCGCGCTTTTACCCGCGTTTCAGAGCGTGTTTTTAATTTGAGCTCTGATTGGCTGCTAGTGATGATTTCTCCTTCTCTCCAATTGGCCGACCTTATTATTTTAGTTTGGTCTTACGACAGTCAATAGAAAACCGTTCTATACAGAGAATTTAATTTGAAAGTTTATTCGGAATCCTCTGAATGTTTTCAGGTAGTAACTCACACTGCACAAATTCTTGATCTAGACACGGCCGTTGATCTATGATTAGCTATCTATGAGCGCAATGTCTCAACAACAAAGAAATTACATAAATTCGTTACCGTGTCAGGCTACAAAAATTTAAATACAGGGAGTAAAAAGAAGCACGAGAGCTCATACCTCTTCACGAAACTCCTTCAAACACTTTTCACGATCTTCTTTCAACTCTTTCTTAGTGCTTTCAATCTGCGCGTATATCCTGGCCCGTTGAGAAGCCTTCTCTCGAATCGATAATTCATCGTTAATGTTCGAAAGTCCAATATTTAGCGACGACTGTTCCCGAAGAAGGTCTGCCATCTTAAAAACGAAAAAGAATAAAATGTAGTCAACATTAAAACTAAAACATCAGAAGTTCCATTTGAATGATCACAAAGAATTGACCGTAGTAGACCAAACAGTTGACAGTCCTGTCACGCATGATATCGAGAGTACCACATGACAATACTACACAATATGTGTTTTTTGTGACATCACACACTAGAATTGGCAGAGATCTTAAAGTCAGAATAGGCCATTTTACAGTTGTGTACTTAGTTGCCAAGCCTTTAATTCAGAGTGAGGCTGAAGGTGACCTTGTTGTGATAGAGACCTGTATCTACTTAGCATGATAACAAAGTGATTTACATTTGAAAGGCAGCAACGTTTGTATCATAACAAGGTCACCCCTAGCCTCACTCCCATTGAAAGGCTTGGCAACCAAGCACACACCTGTAAAATGGACTTTTACCCATTACAATATACTGAACAGCGCTACATTAAAGTACTGATCGCATGCTCAGTAGCTTTCACTTGAAAGACAACAAACTTGAGTTTCGTCCACAAACTTAAAAGTTAGGACCACCGCATTGTAAAACAATACCATGAGCAACAACTGCTGGGTACCTTTCATTTAAATAGCCACACGCCTGGGTCTCATCAAAAGACGTAAGAGTCAAAACACCCTTTTTTTAGTTCGAAATGGACTCCCGCATTAAAGTCACAAAGAAATCGTCAAGAATTTCAAAGGAAGTGTTTTTTACTTAAATCTCTAAAAAAATCCTGGATAGCCCCGGTGTTAACTTCTGGATCCAAACATACGCCAATGTTTGCACCAATCGGTTTATATCAGGTTCCAAGGCTGTGCTCTATGAAAAATTGAAGGGAGCCCAGTGCTCGAAACTCTGAATTCCAGGGTGCCCAGCATAAGCTTTTTATGAAAAAACTAAGATTCCTGAGTCGCCCAAGAGTAAAAGTAAGGCCCCAGGGGCCACCGGGCGCTGCTGGACCACAGCCCTGGGTTCCCTCTAAGAAAGTATATCTTCATAACCCTTTAAGCTTCTACGATCTCTATCCATATTCTCCATAGTGTTCTCTATACTTATCCTTTCGGTACTCACAAGGAGAATTAGTTTATCAATCAAAGCTTCTTAGTTTGGTGATCATTTCCTTTCTTCTCAAAATCTTAATGAATGATTCAGCAGTTTGAATGTGAAGAGGAATTATACGCTGGTCACTCTCTGGGTTTAAGGGGTTAATAAAAACAGCAGTCGATAAACAACCTTACACTTTGAGAAACTCCGAAACAGACTGGGTTCTTCGCAACTCCTGCGAGCAACAGCCTTCTGCGTTCCGATAGAAGAAACTTCATCCTTTCGAGTTCTGAACCAATCATCACACGCAGTTCTTGAATAGCACTCACTTCTTCGTTGATCCTAAAACACCAGAAAGAAATGAAGACACGTTTGGAAATTAGTTTTTACAAATGTTTGCGGATCTCGAATCGAACTGTATAAAAAGCTCTAATGCATGATGACGCCATTTACTGGAAATTCCCCAAATCTCATTTGCGCTTAACGTTCACGAGTCCTTAGCACTTTCTTGTTGTTTTCAAGTGGGTGTTGTTTCGATTTCAGTGTTTTTTAATTCTGTTTAATTAAAACTCACCAATCTACACCTTGAGGAGGAGGTTTAGGGTAAAATTTCGTTTTCGGTCGTAAACATGCTTAGAGCGCTTTTCGATTGAGTGTCACATGACCTAAACCAAAGCAATCATCACAACAGCCAATCATAGCGAGGATAATAACACCAAGAGCCAATCATAACAAGGATAAAATCACCAAGAGCAAATGAGAGCTCGTGATAAAAACAAGCAAGCTGTGTAAAGCGAGGGAAAATGCGAGTGACCGAGTCGGGATTGGTTTTGGTTTTGAATTTGATTGGTTGAGAAAGTGGCGTGAGTTTTCTAGACCAATCACAAAACGAAATAAAGAAAAACCAAAGCAGTCCTAAATCACTTTGGACACTCCAATGAGAATTGCTCCCAGACCAATGAAACAAATTCTGCGTAAGACCTTATGCGAAGAGCAACGACAAACAAACAGACAAACCTACCTGACCAGTACACTTTCAGTGTCATCTAAAGTTTTGGCTCTATCCAGTTGTCCCTCGGGAGATAAGTTTGATTCATACTTTTTAACGCTTTGCTCTAGAATGTTTATCTCATGAAGGTACTGCTACAAAGTAAAACAGACTAAAACACTTAAAATTCAGAGAAGCATTAAAATCGCTCCAAACTAATAAAATCGTTACCCGAGGAAGAAACTTGAGAGTAAAGTGAAAGTAAGCTTTCAGTCAGTAACACATGGAGAAAATCCACTTCCTTCTCTGAGCACAAGAAAATATTAACCCAGTTGTAATTACGGGAAAATGAGCAACCAGCGGAAAGCATGGAAAATAGGGAAACAAGAGTAGACAACTGGTGTAAAGCGAGGGATTACATACAACTGCCTCAGACAAAAGTAGGTTAAGGTGCAACCAAGCGAGGGAGAACACACAACAGTTATGCAACCGAAAGATCCTTTCAACGCACACACGAGTATTATCATCATCCAAATCAATGGCATTACTATCAAGATCATTATAGTGATTAAAAATATCTTTGTTAAAAGTATTAGCTCCTCACCTGGAAGGATTATATTCAGTCTTGTCCAACATAAAGTTATTGTCAAAATCATCGCTCGTGTGCTGACTAACAAGCAACATATTAGTACGTTAAGACGATCAAGAAATGCTTTGTCGATCAGAAACCCAAACACGGTTGTCTTCCTCATCGCTGTTAGCAACCTCGCCGAGGTTTCCCTCCATTTCAGTGTGGTCCTCGAGCCCTTGTCGATGTACTATTCGTCCTCGTACTTTTCCCTCGCCCCCTACATCATCGACGCATACGTCTTCGGCGTTATCATTATTGTTAACGTGGTTTATTATTATACGTGGTTTATTATTATCCGTGCCTATCATCGTTTTCGTTCAAGTTTCTGCGTTCGTCTCGTTACCATTGTCATCCTCGGCAATGTCTTCTTCATCATCATAGTCGTCGTCATCATCATCGCCGTCATTTTCGTCATTATCATCGTCGTTGTAATCATCATCACCGTGATCGCCGTCGTCGCCACCGTCATCACCGTCACCGTCATCATCGTCGTCGTCGTTATCGTCCTCGTCATCACCACAATTGCTGTCACCTTCGTTGTCTCTTCCGTCGCTAAAATCACCACCATTATCTACACTGTTTTCAATAACCTCATCGTCACCTTCATAATCGCGGTCACCATTACAAATTGAAATTAAAAGAAATAACACAATCAACCGTACCACCATCACCACTAACTGAACTACTTTTTCAACCATGATTACCATCAACACCATACCGCCAAGTCATTGCGATGATCATCCCAACTGCAATTGTTACCGTCTTCACAACCCTCACCACCAGTGTTATTGACTAACGCCACCTATATCATTACCAAACAAACCTCCCAACACCATTGTCGCCCCGATAAATACCCTAAATTAGAGGCCACTTCTCACACTCTCCTCTCTAAACAACGTATGTAGCAGGCTTTCAAACAAGACGCAAGTATCGAAAAAAATATTTATTAAAAGAATCAAACAATATTAAATCTGGTAAAATAAATAAAACTTACATTACATTGTATTTAAATAGATATGGTTATGTTCAGTTGTAGAAACAATTTAGTTTTGTATCTCACTTTCTTCTTGGAACAGATTTTTCGACATGTGATGTAATCGTTAAACGAACTTCTGCCAAGGTTTACATTACTAAGAAGAAAAATGTTTTTTTTTTCCAACTAAATGTTTTAAATTTTGCCTTGAAAAATGATGTATAAGTAGCTATTTACCATAAGTTCCAATTACAAAATGAAATAATAAAACATATTAAAACTGATCTATAAAATAATTCCACCGGTTTTGCATTGGGCCAATGAATGCAAAGTACTAAAACGCTCATTAAAAAACTCTCCCCCCCCCCCTTTAATTTAGATTCCCTGTTTTCCATTGAGTCTAAAATATGTGATCACAAAATGTTGTCCGTAATGGCTCTAGAACAAGTGATCAACGTGGTTTACAATTCAATGGTCTAAGTGGTTTAACAATAAATACATTCGTACAATCATCTTAGACTGACCTTTAGACATTCAGAATCAACCTTTTGCAAAGCTTTTCGGGATTCCTTCCTCTTTTGTTGTTCTACGCATGCACTAACGTCTTCATTTTCCCCGAGGGAAGACACTGAAAGGTTACCACTAGCAGCGACACCAACACAATTTTCTGTATTGTCTCCGATATCTGAGTTAGTCTGGAGTAACTTGGCATGAAAATAACCATCGTCTGATAGTTCAACTAAACTCTGCGGCGAAACGAACTCTTCTGTAGTTAAGCTTGAGTCGGAGATGTTGTCATGGTTTTCACTTGTCACATTATTTAGAATAATTGGGCTAAACCTGGATTTATTCATCGCAGTGTTAGCTTCAATCGCAACATCAGAGAAACACTCTCCATTTCCTTGATCTCCAACGCAAACACTATTAGCTAGCGCTTTGTTATCCTTTTCTTCGCTGGTATCGTCTATTTCTGATGTACCTGATACAACAGGACTAATCGTCGTTTGTCTCATGGCAGTATTAGGGTCATTCTCAACAATCACACAAAATTCCCCATGAAAAGGCTTTTCGTTTCGTAATCTCTCAGCAGAAACTTGGTTGTCCTTCACAAAACTGCCACTGCCTTGTTCTGACGTTCCAGACACGAAAGGACCAAACTTAGATTGTCTTTCCACTATGTGAGGGTCAATCTCAATACTTGATGCAGATTTTCCATCATTTATCTTTTCGTTTCCTTTGGTTTCGGAAGACACAGTATCCTTATCAAGACCACCACCGTATTTTTCTAAGGTGGACGATACGACAGCTAATGGCAGTTGTTCCAAATCAGATTTTGATTTTCTGTTGAAGTTTTCGTCGATTTCACCATCATACCCGTCTACGTCGGATTTCCTAGCAAGATCCACTGGTTCTTCAGTCTTTCGAGAAAGAAAACTTGACCCTTTCTGAGCAAAGTCCAAGGAAGTACTCTCGTAATTTTGACCCACGCTGTTCCCTATACTCCCCGCAACATATTTTGACAGGGGTGAACTGGAACCAGAGACCCATAATCCAAAACCATCCTCGTCAACAGGTCGCTGTTTTGTTAAAGATTTTGTTCTTCTTTGCGCGAAGGTCCCTCTCGGCGATTTTTCTTCCAAAGCTCTGCAAATCAGTTCAGGATCCAAAAGAGCTTTCAGTGGCCTTACGTCGCTGACAAAAGTACATTCGACCGTGGAAGATCCCTTCACATTCAAAACAGGCGAACAAGAATTTGAACTTGCTGCGTCTTTGTCGGGAAACATTTCTTCAAAGCCACTACTTTCCCCGCTGTTTTCTCTTGTCATGCGATTGTCTGAAGCCTTGGAATTATATCCACTTTCTTCGTCTACAAACGATGAACATTCTTTTTCGTTAAAATACTCATTTCCAATTTCCTCGAGTTCAAAAGAATCCTGCACAGCAATATTTCCAACTTTCAAGTGCACTGGGACCGCCGCGAGAGGAGAAATATCTGCTACTCTTGAATCAAAATCCACGACTGGGTTCCCTTCAACATCTTCCATATCACTGTGATCACTTGTAATCAACGCAAATTGATCGCTGTCTGTTCTATACTGGCTCGAATTCCCTGTCTCTGTAATGCCTGACGAACTCACTCCATAATCCAACAAAGTACCTCCTCTGACGAGAATACTCTCGCTTTCTTTAACGTTTAAATTGGCAGTGATCGCCGTCTCTTCTCGATTGTTTTCAGTAAAATTGGTATCAGCAAGCTCGTTCGAATCAAAGCTCGTTTTCTCGCTTACAATGAGCGAAGGAACATTCAAGACTAGTTCGGAATCCAGGTTCGGTTGCTCCGACGATTCCTCTCGTACGATGATCGTGCCTTCTTCGTTAGAAAGTTTTCTAGAAATTCTCGTCCTAATTGTTCCACTTCCAACTGAAGACACTTCAAGTTCTTCCGTAACTGGTTCAAGGTACACCCCCTTTGTAACGTGTTGTGGTTTGTTGAGTCTAAGGTGCCTCATTAGATCAAACGACTCCTCGGGCGCTTCTTCAGGTTCAGAGATAAGAGGCACAGAGCTATAGGGCCCCACATACAGCGTGTTTGTTGGTTCCGTGGGACACGTTATAAACCTGGAGGGGATCCTGCAGGAGCCTGGTTCCGACCATACCGAAGACTCTTGGGGCTACAAAAAAACGATAGTGAACAAAAACCGGGTCAGAGGCTGGTTTCTCTCAACCTGAGAGACTGAACTATAACATTTGTTGCCTCTCATGTCTCAACGGAATTGAAGTGTTTTGGTAGACTGAATACCGAAAAGGTATTAACTTTTGAGTATTAGAGGCTCAGAAATTTGACATTACACGATTCGCCGCCTGCGTACAAGTATCTTGTCCAACAAGGAGAGAGAATCAAACAACAAACATATGAAATACATATATATGAACTGCGGTTATGAAACGTATATGTGCACGATCCTTCGCAGTAGAGCACTATTTAAGCAGGCCTGAATTTTTTTCAGGTCTGATTTTCACTATTGCTTAAATAGTGCTCTACTGCGAAGGATCGTGGACATATACGTTTCATAACCGCAGTTCATATATATGTATTTCATATGTTTGTTGTTTGATTTATCATCTACGGGTTTATGTCGAATTAATTTGATGGCCTGCTCCCAGTTGGCTTGTTAGCTCAATTGGTAGAGCGCTGCACTAGTATCGCAGAGGTCAGTGGTTCGAATCCCGTACAGGCCTGAATTTTTTTCAGGTCTGATTTTCACTATTGCTTAAATAGTGCTCTACTGCGAAGGATCGTGCACATATAAGGAGAGAGAAATAAGGAATAGCGAGATTAACAGATTTTTTACGCTACCAATTGAATTTAAAGTGAATCTACTTTGATAAATACGTGCGGACGCCGCCATGCACAAGCAGTAACAAAGTATTTCCAAGAGACCCCAACTAAATGTTGATGAAGATAAAAATTAGATCGGGAATATTCTGTTTATATCTGCATCTACAAGCGAATTTCCGCGAGTACCAAACTCATCTACGCATGAAAATGTGCACTTTTGTTTATTTCACAAATTGTACATTAAGCGAACGTTGCTAATTGGATGAATTTCTTCCTTTCTCTTTGGTCCCACGAATAAAACTGTTTTGTCTCTTTTTTTTTTTTATTTCATCTAACTGAATTATCTAACACAGCTTGAGTTGCCTGGTAACTCTTTCGTCCATGGTCAAACACTGATCGAATTATAAACGAACACATTTTTAAGAAGCAAAAAGAAAACTGGAAAAAGCATTTCGTAATTCAAAATGTCATAATACTGTATACATGTCTAGTAAGTTAAACGGACAAGATATGTTTAAGACTAGATTTAGCCTGTACGAGTTTTGAAAATAAAAAAAAAATCTATATACGTGACAAAGTTCGAATAATCATAGACTGCACCAAAACCTACGTCCAACCTGTGTATTAGTAGCTAGCTGGAAAAATTCAGCGTGGGCAGAAATTCATTCTTAAATGTAAAACGAGCGCAGTTTTACGTAAAAACCTGTAAATTCAGCAGCTACTTAGGCAATTTCATTGACTTTCTCTCTGTGTATACCTCAAAATCACCAATATTTATATTCCTTTTAACAGCAGACCGAAAAAAACATCAAAAGTATAATAAACAAAGATTAAAAAAAAAAGAAATCAGAGAGAATTCTGCGGGCCTTAACCTCTACTCTAGACGGACAACTGATAAACTAGACCAGCTAAGAATCTATGTATGTCACTGAACGGACAAGCTCCTAAATCGTACAGCACACTGCACGATCCTCGCAGTGTACAACACTACACTTTTAGAAGTAACGCTGTTCAACAGCGTTTATGGAACTCTTCAATAATACTACCTTAATAAAGGAAAATAATTTAAGTTTCGACTTCTAATTTTGGATTCATCTTTTCGCTGGTAAATTCCCTACGAAAATTGTGAATTAGATTTTTTTTTTACCTTGATCCAAATTAACTGTTCAAAAACTTTTCCGCCCGAGAAAGATGACATACCCATATGAAAACTGGTTTATAGTCCCAAGAAATTTCCTGCAGCGTCTCTGAGTAACTTGTTGGCTTTGTTGGGGTTGACTGCCTTAAAACCGAAATTAACTAACACAATTCAATAGAGCGCAATGGATCACAGTAAGTCAAAGTGATCGCAACAGCCAATCAGGACCAAGGAAACATTACAAGCAGCCAACGAAGACTCGATGCAGAAAGGCGCGAACTTGCCAACGCGGGAAACGCGAGAGAACGAGTCAAGATTGGTTTTCCTTTTTTTTTTTCAGTTTCTGATTGGAAGCAGGGATGGCGCCAATTTCTTGGACCAATTACAGACCGAAGCAGAGCAATGCAACGCAATCATGGAATACTTTTGACACTTAATTGAAAAGTGATCTAACTGAAATTCTTTTCACTTACCGATGATCCAAACACATCGTCCGTTTCAAGACTTCTTCGAAATGAATCCACATCGATTCCATGCGCATTAGAAGCCGACTGAAAAAATCTTTCTGGAATACGCACGCGCAGATCCGTTTCGGCAAATCCCAAATCAGTGAGGAATTCTTCTGGATCTACGGTCATTGCGTTCAGCAGCGAATTTACACCGTGGGAGGCCCTTCATATAAAAGCAAATAAAATTAATGTGTCAATAATTTTTCTGGTTTGGAAATTAGTCTTGTTCCACCACAGCTCAAGAAAATTTTGCATCTTTGAGAGTAATGCTGACAAACGCAATTTCCTTGTGTACAGTTTCGTATATTACAACATTTCAGTGCTAAATTCCCAGAACTGTCAATACATTACTACTTTCGGAACAAAACTGTTGTTCAAGTTAGCAAGCAACTATCTAAACACTGATCTCACCAAACAGAAACATTCAAAAGTTGCCGATTCAATTCATATCAAGCTTTGGAGGTCTACTGCACACTGGGTAATCACTGTAAATCGAGTTTTAAACGGTCTGTAAAAAAAAAAAGAAACACTTTTCTCATTTAATACGACTACGACAACAACGTCGACTCACCCGGGAAACCGAAAATAGAGATTATAATTTTCATTATTTCTCACTGTGCAAATAATCTTTCGTATAATCTTAACAAATTGAACATCTCAAGACAGTCAGAAAACTGCGATATCCACGAAGTAATTCACTCCTTAATTTTACATGTAATACCTACAAGGTTTCCCAGAAAGCCACTTAAGACGAGGAAGGAAGCGTTTGTGTTCCTTATATAAAGCACTGAGGAAACACACCTTTATGAAGGGTGCTCTCAATGTTGAATGTTTTAATATTGCCACTGAAGCAAGAGTTGAAATGAATGCCACAAGAATTAACAAAACGACGAATGGAGTTTTGACCATAAACCACCTGTAATATTCTGACATGGAATTTAATAAAACATTGTCTTGCTGTTTACTCAATTCAAAGGGTAAAATGGTGAAAGTGTGCAAGCAAACTTAAACATAATCAGACGCCACTGAAGTGAGTTCTTGCCTAAAATAAAGCATTTTTGCTCGGTTGGAAATTCAATACTATCGATAGCCCGACACTACATCGTGAAACAAACGAGTTTAAAAACGCTCGAGACAACTGCGATAGGAAAAACAATTCTGTAACAAGCCTAACGTTTGTTTGTCAGATTTTTTTCTGAGCATATACAGCCAAAGAACGATCTCGAAATAAGTGATTCCATTAGGTCGACTTATCATTAAGAGATAAAGTTACACTTAAGATAGCTTAAAAACTAATTACGGGGCGAATAGGATGCTTCAAGGGAAATTAATGTTGTCAGTGTGGGGTGGGCGGAGATGATGTGGCAACAACACAAAAAGTGTATAGGAGACAAGACAAGAAATAAAAAAATAAAGAGTGGAAGAGGCACTACTTCTGTCTTCAAAGTGCTTTTTGATTCTTTAACCCTTAAGAATGACTGGCATCTAATTTCTCCTTACAATATCACCCCTGAGACGCACATTAAGGTCAGGAGAATAAAGGAAATGATCACCATCTGGAGAAAGTTGATTGTGAAACAAATTCTCCTGCTCAGCTTCTCGGGAAGTGTATAGAAAGCAGTATGGAGAATATGAATTCTGATGTTAAGGTGTAAAACGTTTGATCTTAGGGTAAAGGGGTTAAGTTTGTAAAGAAACTGTGGTGACGCATCGGTGAGGGAGTATACCACGGTAATTTCAGGGCTTGAAATTGCGCCTGTATCGGGCGCATTTGCGAATAAGGATTTCACTTCTGCGACTAAAATTTCTCTATTAGTAGCGATTTTGCGACCGCTTTACAGCCCAGCTTATAAATAAATCATATTTAACAGCCTTGTGTCTTACTTCTTCCTGGTTACTGTAGTTTTATCCTAAAAATCCTGCGAAATTCAAGTTAAATGTTGCGTGACTTTTATGGTTGATTTCTTGCTGAGAAATGTATCGCACTACGTAGTGCAACGCTCGTGAAATTTCTAGGAAATCTTCGTTACTAATTTCCAGTTCCGGCAGAGGTAGGTTACTTTTGCGACTAAATTTTCCAACTTGCGACTAAATTTTAGGAATTACACGCAAATTGGGATCGATAATTTTTTTTGTTTTCAAGCCCTGAATTTTGGTTTTTATTAAATGAGTTGAGAATGTATACTGACCACAGTAAAGAGTTTTAAAACTGACGTTTCGAGCGTTAGCCCTTCGTAAGAGCGAGTGACGAAGGGCCAACGCTCAAAACGTTAGTTTTGAAACTCTTTACGGTGGCCAATTTACTTATCAACTCAGTTGATAAAACCAAAATTACCCTGTTAGTTTCGGGGTAGTCATGTAGACTAAAGATTAGGTAGCAACACTTACCAACTGAAGTCGGAAAAATTTGACAAAATGCTGTCTGAACTGTTGGCTCTTCCAATATTACAAAGTTTTCTAGCTTCTTTGTTTCTTCTTGTGGGTTCTGTGCTATCACTAGATGATTCAAAGTAGCGCCTTGTGAAAAAAAATAAATAAATAACTTACATGTTTTACAACCAAATCCACAGAAACTTCCACTGATGAATTTGAAAATGTTTTTTCTTTAAAGGTCCGATAATACGGGCAACATTTTTCTTCAACTTGTCTTGCAACATTGTTGCATTGCAAGTTGAAACCCTTTGTTGAAAATTTGTTGCAGAAAGTAGAACTCGAGTCTACTTTGCGCAACACGTTGCCTCAACTTGCAACACTATATTTTGTTGCAAGACAAGTTGGTCACGAACGTGGTAATACGCGCAACAAAGGGTTTCAACTTGCAATGCAACAATGTTGCAAGACAAGTTGAAGAAAAATGTTGCCCGTATTACCGGACCTTTA